AAGCCCAGGACAAGATAGCTTTACTGCTGAATTCTACCAAACATTTAAAGAAGAAATAATACTAGTTCTCAAATTATTTAAAAAAAAAAATGAAGAGAAGGGAATTCTTCCAAACTCATTCTGTGAGGCCAGCATTACACTGATACCAAAACCATACGAGGACACACACAAAAAAGAAAACTGCAGGCCAGTATACCTGATGAACATAGATGCAAAAATCCTCAAAAAAAAAAAATATTAGCAGACTGAGTCCAACAGCAACAGAAAAAAAAAATCAGAAGATAGCAAGTGTTGGTGAGGCTGTGAAAAAAGGGAAGCCTTACACACTGCTGGTGGTAATGTAAATTAGTAAAGCCATTATGGAGATTAGTTTAGAGATTCATCAAAAAATTAAAAATACCAGCCAGGTACAGTGGTTCACACCTGTAATCTTAGCACTTTGGGAGGCTGAGGTGTGATGATCACTTGAAGCCAGGTGTTCCAGACCAGCCTGGTTAACATAAAAATACATAGAATAGGCTGGGTGCAGTGGCTCACACCTGTAATCCTAGCACTCTGGGAGGCCGAGGCGGGCGGATTGCTCGAGGTCAGGAGTTTGAAACCAGCCTGAGCGAGACCCCACCTCTTCTAAAAATAGAAACAAATTAATTGGCCAACTAAAAATATATATAGAAAAAATTAGCTGGGCATGTTGGCGCATGCCTGTAGTCTCAGCTACTCGGGAGGCTCAGGCAGCTGGATTGCTTGAGCCCAGGAGATTGAGGTTGCTGTGAGCTAGGCTGACACCATGGCACTCACTCTAGCCTGGGCACAAAGTGAAACTGTCTCAAAAAAAAAAAAATACATAGAATAGATTAGTGATTACCAGAGGATGGAGAGGGTAGGGAGGAGAAGGGAATGGAGAGAGATTGGTCAACAGGTAGAGGGGAGAGGACAATAGAGAAAGATTGGTTAATGACAAGTACAGAGTTACAATTAGGAGGAGTAAGTTCTGGTATTCAATTGCAGCAATCCCCAGCCTGTTTGACATCAGGGACTGGTTTCATGGAAGACAATTTTTCCATGGACTGGGGGTATGGGGGAATGAGAGATCGTTTCAGGATGATTCAAGCACATTACATTTATTGTGCACTTTATTTCTATTATTATTCATTTTAATATATAACGAAGTAATTATACAACTCACCATAATGCCGAATCAGTGGGAGCCCTGAGCTTGTTTTCTTGCAATTAGTCAGTCCCATCTGGGAGTGATGGGAGATAGTGACACTGAAGTGTGTTGCTTATGTCCAGTCTACCTGTAATCTTGTTCGGTTGCTGTCACTGCAGAAACCCTGCTTCACAAAGAAGTATATTGGAAATGGAACAGGCTTTTCAGTGCTTTTGTAGCAGTCAGAATTTTCTGTCTTGATTTTAATCCAGAATGTTATGAAGACTTGAAGTTGTCTTAAAAATACTTTTAAGGCCCCATCATTTGCAATCTCAAGCAGTTGATCCTCTTCTAGCATGTACGGACAGAGTCGATTCACCTGGCTTATTCAAGGTTGCAGATCCATTCTTCCTTGTTGCGGGGGGGTGTCTTTTGTGATTGGGAATTACTGGCTCAGACTCTGTTGAAAGTTGAGATAGGTGATCACGCACTAGCTGGGAGAAAGAAGGCCCTGGCTCAGTTTTTTTCAAGATCTCTGCTAATGTTTGAAACATGTCAGAAATCCTAATGTTCACTCCGTTGCCCCATAATTCCAGTTTTTTTGTGTTTTTTTTTTGAGACAGAGTCTGCTTTGTTGCCCAGGCTAGAGTGAGTGCTGTGAGTCAGCCTAGCTCACAGCACCTCAAACCCTGGGCTCAAGCGATCCTACTGCCTCAGCCTCCGAGTAGCTTGGGCTACAGGCTGCGAATACCAGCTAATTTTTTCTATATATATTAGTTGGCAAATTAATTTGTTTCTATTTTTAGTAGAGACGGCTCTCGCTTTGCTCAGGCTGGTTTCGAACTCCTGCCCTCGAGCTATCCGCCCGCCTCGGCCAGAGTGCTAGGATTACAAGTGTGAGCTATAGCGCCCAGCCTATAATTCCAGTTTGGCTTTGAGTGCAGCCACTTTATCTGCTGACTTGAACATAGCTGTCATTCTCCCCTGAAATGACAGGTTGAGTTTGTTGAGCAGGTTGAATATTTCACACAAGTAAGCAAGTTTTGTGACCCATTCTCTATCACTGAAATGTGCTGCCAGTGGTGACTGTTCTAAAAGAAATCTCTGGAGTAGTTCTCATAACTCAAAAACTCTGGCCAGCAATCTACCTTTAGAAAGCCATCTCACTTCTGTATATAAGAAAAGGTGTGTGTGCTCTGGACACTGGACAGTGGACAATGGACACTGACAGATGAAGCTTTGCTTACTTGCCCGCAGCTCACCTCCTGCTGTATAACCTGGTCCTAACAAGCCATGGACCAGTTCCAGTCCTTGGGCTGGGGGTGGGGACCACAGTTCTATTGCACAGTAGGATGACTAGAGTTAACAACAATGTATTGTATATTTCAAAACCGCTAGAAGAGAGGTTTTTGAATGTCCTCATCATAAGGAAATGATAAATGTTTAAGGTGATGGATATGCTAATTACTCTGGTTTGATCATTACACAATATATATATGTACTGAAACTTCATGGTGTACCCCATAATATGTACAATTATTATGTGTCAATGATAAATTTTTTAAAAAGATGACAGTAAACAGACTAGCTATGTAAATTAAAAAAATTTAAAGTTTACTTTTCTGCTGCATGAACACATACCAAACATAGATTGTTTAAGTGTGTCTTAGAATAAGGGCCACATTCTTTTGTAGCTTTGGCATCTTAGGGACACTTCATTGTGAGGAAGGGAAGTTCTTTAGCTTTGCCCAGAAGAAGTTATTATTAGATCAGAATACTCAAAGTTTCTAGGATTTTAGTGCTGTTTGTATAATTTTAGAATCAAAGCCCTAGGATGGTAGGGTACTTAATGTCTGCTTTTAGGATTTATCATGATGTTCTTTGACAGTTAACCTTGTAAGATCAATACAGAATGAATCAGAACAGAGATATGCAGAGTTACCTCTGTATCCGATGAGTCAGCTGGCTCTGAGGCCTGTAAGACTAGATTGTAACCTGTTGGAATGTGAAAACTGTGTCAGAACAAACCAGAAGTTAGTTAGCTCTAAGGAGGGAGCATAGGAGATGTAGAGTCACTAAGCAAGGTTGGCAGTCAGTTGGCCTCTGTGATGGCAGTTTCTCACATATAACAATAAATGGCATTTTAGTGACCACCTTAGTCTTATGTGCATTTTAGGTATCTTGAGGTATTTCCCAGGACTGGTATAGAAATGGAATAAGGGAAGTCTGGTGACTCAAATGTTTAATGGTATAAGGCTTAGAGTCTCCTAATTCAAATAAATTCTTGATCACAGAGCCTTCAGTACAACAAACTGGAGTGAGATCTATCTGGCCTCTACCTGCTGCCTCTCCAGCACTTTTTTTTTTTTTTTTTTGAGACCAGATCTCACTCTGTTGCCCAGGCTAGAGTGTGGAGTGGCATCATGGTAGCTCAATGCAACCTCAAACTCCTAGGCTTAAGTGATCCTCCTGCCTCAGCCTCCTGAGTAGCTAGGACTCTAGTCATAATCCACCACATCTGGCTAATTTTTCTTTTCTTTTTTTTGTAGAGATAGATTCTCACTATGTTGCTCAGGCTGGTCACTAACTCCTGGCCTCAAGTGATCCTCCCCTGCCTCAGCTTCCCAAAGTGCTGGGATTACAGGCGTGAGCCACCTCACGCCTTCTCTTTTTAAATGACACTCCTATACCATACCTAACTTCATTCATTTTGTTTATTTGTGAATATTATTTGTCTGCCTTTACTTGACTCATCCACTTTCCTAAAAAAACTCAGAAAATGTATAAAAGAGGTTAATTTTGAGTATTGTTAGAATTAGAAAGGATCCTAAATCAGGACCCTCCCACCCCCATAGGTCTTTAAATGATATAAAAAGGTTACGGTGGAAGTTCTCTGAAGAAATCATTGCCATTCCCATGACTGTCCTTGCAAAGAGGAAAGAGTTGTAAGAAATGGAAGGGCAAGATAGAGTGTATAAGGTAACAATTGGGGGCCCCCCAAAAATAGTTTGACACTTTATCTCCTGTTTTCCTTATCTAGTTTGATTCAGTACATCAAGCTCTTTTCATTTCATTGCAGTTGGTTTTGAGTTTTTAGTGAGTTGAAAGGTGTGTTGAGGAAGTGCTGGGAATTTAAGAGGAACCTTGAAGATGATCTAGGGCAGTTTTGAGGTTTTCAAGCATTTCCACCCAAATACTTCAAATGGTTTAGGAGAATGAGCCAGTAGCTAACTGGTTTGGAGCATGTCCCAAAGTGGCTCAGTGCAAATTTAAAACATTTTTGGTTGATTTTAGCTTAAAAATCGTGGGGGGGAAATCATGGGCAATTTATACTCTTATCCATAATATTTGTACATGGGTATGTATAGAAAGCATTTTCTGTCCTTCACTATGTCGTAGTTAGTGCTTGGAGATATAGTAAATAAAAAGTAGCTCTTTGGCTGTTTTTGTTTGGCAAAAGATTTTTGGTTCTAAGCAGATGCCCATTTCTTTTATATGTTGCACATGTACTGTCATTGTTCAGAATTATCTTAACAGGATATACTCCTATAAACATAGGGTTATAGGTTACTTATGTGAGGGTTGAACAAGAAAGTAGATGAAAATCACTTTACAAAGCATAATGGCATAATGTCCCATTTAAATGTGAGGTTTTTTGTTTTCTATCTTAGTGCTCTTTACAACTTTAATCTGCTCAGAGTTGAGTCTTATGCCCAAGTGTAAAATTAAATAGGAGAGAGAATGTTAAGATGTGTGGCAAGAGACTTCTTGGTTTAGACTTTCTTTGACATGATTAGGATCAGGTACAACAAAGTTAAATTAACCATTATTATAATTGATGCCTTTGCAGGAGGGAGCACTGGCAGTTGCTGGGAAATTTGAAAACTACTGTGGAGGGTTTGGTGTCAACCAACAGCCCGAACGTCTGGTCCAAGTATGGTGGCCTGGAGAGGCTTTGCAGGGACATGCAGAGCATTCTCTATCATGGACTCATCCATGACCAGGTAGGAGAACTCTTGTTTTTTGGCAGATTGGCTGAATCATTTGTTGGAAATAAACAGTTGCATAAAGTTGATTGGCAGGGAAAACATGAAGGCCACTAGTCTTATGAGCTCTTGAGGGCAAGACTGTGACAAAAAAAAATACATATTTTTTTTTTGTATCCAGAATATTTCATTTAGTGCCTCATGTATTATACCATAGATGTTAGTGGAATGAATACATTCCTGGGTAGGACAGCAAATCAGCAACAAGAGGTTAGGTCAGTTTATTAGTTTCCTGTTGTTGCTTTAACAAATAACTATAAACTTAATGGTTAGAACACAACTGTATTATCTTACAGTTCTTGAGGTCAGAAGTCTGAAATGAGTTTCACTAGGTTGAGACCAAGGTGCTGCAGGGCTGTACTCAGTCTGGAGGCTCTAGGGGAGAATCTGTTTCCTTGCTTTTTCCAGCTTCTAGAGCATTCCTATATGCTTTGGCTCTTGGCCACTTCTCTATCTTCAGAGCCAGCAGCATAGCATCTTTAAATCTGTCTCTGCTTTCTCATCACCTTCCCTCCCCATCATCTCTCCTGTCTCTCTCCTAAAGGACTCCTGTAATTAATTACAGTGGGCTTGCCTGGATCATTTAAGATAATCCCCCAGCTCAAGATCCTTAATTTAATCACATCTGCAAAATCCCTTTTGCCATAAAAGGTAACATTCACAGGTTCTGGGAGTTAGGATGTGGACATCTTGGAGGACCATTTTTAGCCAACCATGGTCAGGAAGCTTTTTCTTCTGAATCTTAGTTTTGGTTTAAAACCATACTTTTTTTTCAGAAATAGATAGAATAAAGGAAGAAAAATAGCCAAGGCAAAAATGTATTCAGTTAGTCTCTGGCTTTCATCCAGGAATTATTTCTGTGGAACGAGAAGGTGAAACTCCATATACTCAGTTACATTAAATGTACTTTCCTTTGGGAAATCCTTTGCCTAGAAACTAGTGTGTTCTAGTGATTATAAATTGCTTAGGCTTGATGAGATTGGTACAATTAGGACTAAAATTCCTTTTCTACTACAAAATCAGCAATTCTTCCTGATTCTTTGTGGATTAGAATTTTACCTTGTTCCCTAAACTTAGACTTTTGCTATTACTATCTTTACTTCAAATTAGTAATAGGAAGGAAGAATTATGTACTTTCCTGGCAGGAGTAGTGAGAATTCATCTTCAAAATACATGTGAAAACTGTAGAAGTGACTAGTGAAAACAGTATAGAAGTGGCTAGTAAAAACAAGAGGTAAAAAGAAGAGAGGAGGATTAACATGAATAGTTAATGGGTAGTGTGGTTCAGAGTAGAGCCAGACGGTCTGGGTTCAAATATCAGCTCTTTCATAAACTAACTATGTAACCTTGGGCAAGATACTTAACCTCTTTGTACTTTAGTTTCCTCACTAGTAAAACGAGGTAATATTTATGTACTTCTAGGGTTGTTGTGAGGATTAAATGAGTTCATATATGTAAAGCACTTAGAGCATAGTAACAGCTGACTAGCTGTTGTGCTACGATGACGATGAGGAGTAGAAGGACATCGATGAGTCATTGGGATTTTCCTCTTAGCCTCCTAGGACACATGTGAGAAATATTTACAAAATATTGTATTTTTAGAATATTCTTTGAGCATTACTTTGTTGACAACTGATTAATACTTATGAATGGTAGTTTTGATTATAGCTTAAATTGTTTTTACCATAAACTTTATTGATGTTGAGTTTCTTTTTCTTTATATCCTCAAACACTCTAATAAGTTTAGAAGTTTGAAAATAAGTGGAATGCAATAATACTTAATGGTTTTTGTTTTATCTCGGGCAATTACTGCGTTTGCAGTGTCTTAAATGATTTTGTTCTGGATAAAAGTGTCAGGTGAGTCATTGGGGTTTGGTATCCTCCTACTTTTTAAATATTCAACCTCACAAATACATGCATAATTGTATGTTCTAAAACAGTGTCATTCCCTACCTTTTTTGGCACCAGGGACCGTTTTCAAGGAAGACAATTTTTCCAAAGACTGGGGAGGGGGGAATGGTTTCAGGATGATTCAATTGCATTACATTATTGTGTACTTTATTTCTATTGTTATTACATTGTAATATATAATGAAATAATTATATAATTCAGCATAAGTTGGGGATCCCTCTAATAAAACACTCATGTCTTCACATGTCAAGGTCTAGTGTTATTTCTTGGAGTTCCTGTTCCCTGAGCCAATCTTGTGTTTCTTTTTTTTTTTTTTTTTTTTGAGACAGAGTCTCACTCTGTTGCCCAGGCTAGAGTGGCCATGGCATCAGCCTAGCTCACAGCAACCTCAAACTCTGGGCTCAGGCAATCCTCCTGCCTCAGCCTCCCAAGTAGCTGGGACTACAGGCATGCACCACCATGCCCAGCTAATTTTTTTCTACATATTTTTAGTTGTCCAGCTACTTTCTTTGTATTTTTCGTAGAGACATGAGTCTCACTCTTGCTCAGGCTGGTCTCGAACTCCTGAGCTCAAACGATCCCTCCTGCCTTGGCCTCCCAGAGTGCTAGGATTACAGGCTTAGCCACCATGCCTGGCCTTGTGTTTCTTTTTTATCAGAATTTCTCTGCTAGTAGTTACAATTTAAAAAATCTAATCAACTAATTGGTATTAAAGTATTCATACTTGATAGGATTTAATGTGTTGCCTTCCCTTCTAGTAAAAGGTATATATTACCTCTGAACAGTATCTTTAAACCAGTGTGCCTGTTGGATATTTTCAGAATTTAGTGAAAAGATTGCTTAGGTTAGATTTTTTTTCTATTCAGAGTAAGTTCTAAAGGTGAGGCCCTCTCAAAGAATTTTAAAGGTAGGAAAAAACTTCTGCTTTAAAGAGCTAAATTCTTAATGGTCATTATTTTATTTTTTATTTATTTATTTATTTATTTATTTATTTTTTTCTTTACCCAACCTTTTTTGTGGGAGGTCATCATTTTAAAAACACCATTCTAGGAATTTGGAAGCAACATTGTGACAAAAATATTTGGAATCAAACAGAACCTAGATCAGAATCCAGACTCACTGTTCAAGTCCTTGGGAAATAAAATGACATGGTAGTTAAAATTATGGACTTTTGAGTCTCACTGCTCACATTTTAACCTCAGCTTTACCATTAACTTTGTGGGTAAGTTACATAACTCTTTGTGCTTCTGTTTCCTCATTTATGAGGTAAGATAACACTGCTACCAACCTCCTAGGGTTACTGTGAGAATTAGGTGAAAAGCATTAGAAAACATAGTTGTAGTTAATCTTAGCTATTAGGTAATATTAATTTTTTTTGAACCTTGCTCTTCTCATATATAAAAATGAGGATAATAGTATTTATTTCATAAAATAAATCTTGATGGGAAAATTAAAGGAAATCACATACAAATTTGCCACTGTTTGTGGCACATATGTCATAATTAATAAATGTTCTTTTCATTTTTTTACTTTCTAATTACTATATGTAATTAGAAAACAATAATTAAGAACATTAGGGCAGGCGTGGTGGCTCACGCCTGTAATCCTAGCACTCTGGGAGGCCAATGTGGGCAGATTGCTCGAGGTCAGGAGTTCGAAACCAGCCTGAGTGAGACCCCGTCTCTACTAAAAATAGAAAGAAATTAATTGACCAATTAAAAACATATATACAAAAAAAATTAGCCGGGCATGGTGGCGCATGTCTGTAGTCCCAGCTACTCAGGAGGCTGAGGCAGTAGGATCAGTTGAGCCCAGGGATTGAGGTTGCTATGAGCTAGGCTGATGCCACGGCACTCACTCTAGCCTAGGCAATAAAGTGAGACTCTGTCTCAAAAACAAAAACAAAAAAGAACATTAGAATTTGCAAAGCAAATAAGTTGATCCATGGAAATCTGATTTCTACCCTTACTACTGGTGATCTTGCACTGCATTTTAAGTAAAATAACGTCCACGTTACCAAATCCAAGGAGCATTTCTCATTTGAACATGACCTTGTGTTCAACACTGTTGACCATCATCATTCCTTGACTTGTATAACATTATCTTCTGATGCCACAGAAATATTGGCCTTCCTCTATAACCACTTCTCAGTTTCTTTGTCTGGAATTTCTTCCTCTTAGAATTTTTTCTGTTTTATTTTTTGACAGGATCTCACTCTGTCACCCAGGTTAGAGTGCAATGGCATGATCATAGCTCACTGCAACCTCAAACTCTTGGGCTCAAGTGATCCCCCTGCCTCAGCCTCCCGAGTAACTAGGACTTTGGCATGCACCACTACACCCAGCTAATTTTTAAATTTTTTTGTGTAGATGGGGTCTTGCTATGTTGCCCAGGCTGGTCTCAAATTCCTGGTCTCAAGCAGTCCTCTTGCCTTGGCATCCCAAAGTGCTGGGATTACAGGTGTGAGCTTTTGCACTCAGCTGTCTTGTTTTTAAATGGGATTCTGTCATTTTTCCTTATCTCTTCTTACTCTATATTTTCTTGAAGCAATCTCATCCACTTGTATTAAATATCACCCATACACTGATGACCCCTAGCTCAGACATCTCTGCTGAACTCCAGATCAAGAAGACTAGCTGTCTCCTATATATTATCATCTGGCTATCTGTCCTACAGGCCCAAGCACAACATGACCAAAACTAAATTTATTTTCTCTCATGAGTTCGCCCTTCCTCTTAATGTTCTTTACTAATTTGTGGCATTGACCTACTTAGCCAGAAACTTGGAAATCATGCTAACATGTTTTACAAAAACTCAACGTAGGTTTCCCTGGCTGTTGACCAAAATAGCTATGAGGTTAGTGGTACTGTCATTTAGTGGTTCAAGTTCTTGCGTGATGATAGCAAATGTGTTCTTTTCTTAGCTCTATGACTAAAATTACATTGTCATCTAAAGTAATCACTTACCCATGTTACAAGACAGTTTTACCATCTTTGCCAGGAAAAAAATGTGAATGAAGTCAATAGATTCTCAAATGAAAGATGCTTGGTAAATGCAAAATATTATTAACATATTTTGTTATAGTTATTAAAATTGGTAATATCTGTGAAGGCACCTGGTCATCAGAATTAAAAATATCAAAGCATATGGTCACTTGTAAAAGAACAGTAGTTTTGGCTGGCATGGTGGCTCACACCTATAATCCTAGCACTCTGGGAGGCCGAGGCAGGAAGATTGCTCAAGGTCAGGAGTTCAAGACCAGCCTGAGCAAGAGTGAGACCCCGTCTCTACTAAAAATAGAAAGAAATTAGCTGGACAACTACAAATATATAGAAAAAAATTAGCTGGTCATGGTGGTGCATGCCTGTAGTCCCAGCTACTCGGGAGGCTGAGGCAGGAGGATTGCCTGAGCCCAGGAGTTTGAGGTTGCTGTCAGCTAGGCTGACACCACAGCACTCTAGCCTGGGCAACAGAGTGAGACTGTGTCTCAAAAAACAAAACCAAAAACACAGTAGTGTTAATAAGTGGAAGCAGAGCAAACCAGGCAAATGTGTCATGTGTTCACACACACTTAGCAACTGCAGGCTCTAATGGGAAGAATCAAAAGCAAAAGATCCATGCCAATTTCATTGTTGCTCTATTCTGCCTTGTAAAGGTCTAATAATTAAAGTGTGTCTCAAGAATTTGTCATTCCCTTTCATTTCCTCTTTAAAGATTAAGGCTTTCAAAGGTCTTGGGCTGCTGTGTCATTAGGAAGCTATTCTGGGTGGTGTGCTCTTGGTGGGGTGGGGAAGGGATACAATGATTCATGTTGGTCTTAATCTGTTATGTGCTTTCAAAGGGATGTGTATGGAATGTGTGTTGAATTTTTAAAAAATCATTCGAGGCCTTAGGAGAGCTATAACAGTATGACCATATTCTTAGAGGGATCTCATTTTTCTTGACAGCCCGCATCTGGGTTGCTTTTTAGGCCTTCCATAAGGCAAGGCATGTTTGATAACCTTTCTTATGCTTAGAAATGTGGAGAAACTCAGTTCCTGAGATTGCTCAACTAAATAGAAGTGAAAGGATTCCTCATTTCTCCACTGTCGGGAAGAAACTTGTTCTTGGCAACATATATAGCCCAATTTTAAAAAGAACAATAATAAAGAAAAAGAACTCTGTGTTTGTTTCCTGAATATATAAGTAATATAATTTTATTCATTGAAAATTCAGAAAATACCAAAAAGACTTTAGAAGAAAGTTAATATCACCAATAGTCTCAACACCAAGTAATAACAACCACTTTTAACATTTTGGTAATTTTTTTCTATGGATTTATGTATTTTTAAAAATATTAAGATTGTACTATATATATATATATATCACTCTGTAACTTGCTTTAAAGATATTTAATTTTTTAAATAGACAATACATTTTACATGGTTAAAAAATCAAAAAGTATAAAATTGTAAACAATGAAGTCTTACTCCTTTCTAATCCCATAGGTAACTACGGTTTACTAGTTTCCTTCCAGAGAATTTTTATGATTATAAAAGCCAATATATATGAATACTTGTCTTTGCTACACCTCCTAGCAAAGTGAGCATACTGTACTCACTCTTCTGCACCTTGCCTTTTTCACTGAATATATCTTGTAATTCATCTTAAATCATTACATAAGAGCGCCTTCATTCTTTTTTATAACTCTCATTTTATAATAGTCCATTGTATGTACCATAATTTTTATTATTATTATTTTTAATTTCAGCATATTACGGGGGATACAAATGTTAAGGTTATGTATATTGCGCATATCCCCTCCCCCCTCGAGTCAGAGCTTCAAGCATGACCATCCCCCAAACGTTGCACATCTCACTCATTGTGTTTGTATATACCCATCCCCTCCTCCCCCCTCCCACCTGCCCGACACCCAATATGTACCATAATTTATTTAGCCAATCCCCTGGTGAGGATATTTAGATTGTCTCCAATCATGGGCTATTAGTAATAGTGCCTCTCTATAAAAGAGAGGCTAATTTTGCCCTTTACCATAGGATAAATTCCTAGAATTCTTAGGTTAAAGAGTATGTGCATTTGAATTTTGATAACTGTTACTAAATTGCCCTCCAGGAAGTTATGTGTATTTATACCATTGCTAGCAATGTATAAGAGTATCTGATTCCCCATACCCTTGCCAATACAGGGTATTATTAAACTTTTTGAACTTTGCCAGTACAATAGGTAAGTAGTTACATTTCTCTTACCATGAAAGGATGTTTATAAGAGTCATTAAATTTTTTCTTTGTGAACTTTTTCCTATTTTATTCTCTTTCTCCTTAGATTGTTAGTCTTCTACTGATTTATAGAACCTCTTTATTTATTTATTAAGAGAATTAGTCCTTTGTGTGTTATGGGAGTTGCAAATATTTTTTCCTAGTGTGTCTGTTGACATTTCTTATGGTGGCTTTTTCTCTGCCAAAGTATCTGGTTTACAATAAGTCAAATTAATAGTTTTTCTTATGATTTCTAGGCTTTGTGTGATGCTTACACAGGGTTTCTCTACTCTGTGATTATTAAAAATGTTTTCACATAGTTTCTTCCATTACTTTTATTACTTCATTTTTAATTTTTATTTATTTATTTATTTATTTTTGAGACAGAGTCTTGCTCTGTTGCCCAGGTTAGAGTGCCGTTGGCATCAGTCTAGCTCACAGCAACCTCAAACTCCTGGGTTCAAGGCACCCTCCTGCCTCAGCCTCCCGAGTAGCTGGGACTATAGGCATGCGCCACCACGACTGGCTAATTTTTCTGATTTTTGTAGAGACAGGGTCTTGCTCTTGCTTAGGCTGGTTTTGAACTCCTAGCCTCAAGCAGTCCTCCTGCTTTGGCCTCCCAAAGTGCTCGGTTTATAGGCGTGAGGCACCTCATACGGCCCTGTATTTTTTTAATGATTTAGATTTCAATTTTAATTTTTGCCCAATAGTCTCAGAAAGGATTCTGAAAAAGAACAATTGGGTTTTCATGGTATAAACATTTTGCTGTCATGTTCAGGCTTATTCCATTTTAACTAGGACTGAGAATTTCTTTGACTCTAAATATAGCCCTTTCCTGACCTGGATGGCATGGGAAAAGTGGATGTTTCCTTATGTGATTTTGCTTATAACAGGAACTAAAGACATCTGTCTCTGGCTTTTAACAAATAACTCTTTACCAGTTTTAAGAATTACCTTTTAGGAAACAGAATGGTAGAGAGAAAGGGGTAGAAAACATATTATTTTTATGGTATACCATCATATACCGTATGCATATACTATCATATGCATATATTACCTATTCAAAAGAATGATTAAAATAATTTTTAGCACTTATTTTTTAAAAGAGTGAACATGTGTATGTTTTCATTTGATTGGTGCTGAGAACCTTTGTTGAAGCAAGGGCAGGTTATGCTCTTTTTTCTCTCTTTGAATGTCAACACTAGAATTAGATTTGGTCCAAATTGGTAGTGATTTTCTCACTTTATGCATTCCCTCAGCAGGTGTGCTGCCGCCAGACTGATTACTGGCAATTTGTGAAAGACATCCGGTGGCTCAGTCCCCATTCAGCTCTTCATGTGGAGAAGGTAAGAATGAAAGGAGAGCTGGTATGCTAAGGGGTAGCTGTATTTCATTAGTGCTTATTTTGTTGGAATAGTCTCCTAGGGTAGAAGGATATAGAGTATGTCAAATTTCCTCTTAACTGAGGAAAGGAAATCATCCTTGTAGGACTGACTTGGAGGAGAGGATTAGTTGCATTTAAAAAAATAAACTTTGCAAACCTGTTGATCCAAGCCACTTTCTCTCTTCTTAGAAAGGGATGAAAAAAAATTTGTTGTCTTCAAAAGATCTGTATATATGGGACCAGGGTGAAGCTTTTCAAAATCCAGGGCAAATGGCAAGAGGTTCCCTAAAGTAGTAGAGAAAATGATACTGATATGTTGAAAACTGTTCAAAAGAAGAGGATGTACCAACTAGAAAGAAATGTAAAGTTTCTAGAGGCTAGTATCAGATGGAGCCAAGTACGTTCCTAACAGCTTTGGCTACCATTGTAGCACTTTATTTTCCTGTCCTCTCAGCTCAGTCAGGGAAACTGAGCTCAAGGAAGTTAGGTGACTTGGCCAAAGTTATAGCTAGTTCAGAACAATCACTGCCAATTTTGTGTATGTATTTATTTGACTCTTTATTATGGGAAATTTCAAATATACATAAAATTAAAATATTGAAATGAACTGTGAAATGTCCAGCTCATCTTCAGTATTTCTCAGTACATGACCAGTCTTGTTGCATGTATATCCCATTGCCAGATTCATTGCTGATATGATGTCAGGAAAAGTAACTTGTTTCTAAATGATTAGGGAACCAAATCACAGGATGTCACAGTCTGGCCTTTCGTGAGAAAAGGCCAGAGCCCACTGATTTTCTGGTACGGATTTTCTTTGTTCTTCTCACTTTATTTTACCCACCAAACCTCAGTCCGACATCCTTTTCTAAGATATGTGCTGTAGTCATTTCCTCTTAGAAGCCGCCTGAAATTGCTGTCCATGCATTTTTTGCACTGATCCTGGGCTGTGAGACCTTACTTTTATTATACAAACAGCCAAATAGGAGAAGTTTCCAAGCAGAAAGTGCTGTGGCTAGAACCAAAAGGAAATACTCAGATGGCTTCCCTTTGGGGGAGAATATTTGGTAGCATTTTTCCTAGGCCCTTTCTTCCGTGTTTTTGTTGCATTCTTTCTGGAGGCTACTTAACTTAGAGGACTCTGAGAGAAGCCAAGAGGTCAAGTTCATCCGTTCTCTGAATATCCCAGAACAGATTCCTATTTGGAGTTAGAATATAAAGAGCCCGAAGTAGCAGCTTTGTCCTCTCCTGGTGCTGCATGTTAGGTTTTAACTGCTTAGTCCCTTACCAGTGGCCCAGTTCAGCATCCAAGCCATTAATCCCTTACTTTGTTCTCTTTCTCCAGTGGCCTCTAGGTGCCAGGTGGAGGAAAGTACCTCTGAGTGCCTTCCCTTACAGGTCTCAATTTAATTCTTAGGTCATTAGGTCTCAATCTTGCTGTGTCTTCCAGGATGTATGATGCGTGTTTGTTTGCCTTCCAGTTCATCAACTTACATGAGAATGGCCAGAGCAGTGCTGATGGTGTGAGTGAGCGTGCCGTTGCAGAGTTGTGGCTGCAGCACAGCTTGCAGTGCCACTGCCTCTCAGCCCAGCTCCGACCTCTGCTCGAGGATAGACAGTATATCAGAAAATTCTACACAGGTATGTAGGGGCCACTTAGGATTGTTGCTTATACTTCCTCATTCTCTTCTACCTCACTATCGCTTTATAGAAATATCTCTCTAACCTCAGAGCCTCATTTTTTACTTGATGCCATAGGGATTCTACTCAGAAACACGTATCCAGTCTTCTCTCTTACCTCCCATGTAAAACACAATCAAACTTTATGCTAAGGTATTCCCCGACTCCCGTACACACAAACCAATAAGAATAACTACCATTTACTGAGAGTTTCCTATGTGCCAATCACTGTTTACACTATATACTCTTCACAACAGCCCCAAGAGCTGGGTATCAGTACCCTTGTTTTCCAGTCAAAGACAGAGCTAAAGGAGGTTTGTGACTTGGCTCAAATCACCCAAGCTAGGATTCAAATTTGGATCTTTCTGACTTTGATGCCTCTTGCCTTGGCCCCTTTGCTGTATTAGCCTCTTCTGTACTTCCTCATTTCCCTTCACTCCAGTGGCATGATTCTCTCCAATTTATTTTATTTATTTATTTTTTTCTTGAGACAGTCTCGCTTTGTTGCCTAGGCTAGAGTGAGTTCCGTGGCGTCAGCCTAGCTCACAGCAACCTCAAACTCCTGGGCTCAAGCAATCCTCCTGCCTCAGCCTCCCGAGTAGCTGGGACTACAGGCATGCGCCACCATGCCCAGCTAATTTTTTCTATATATATTTTTTAGTTGGCCAATTAATTTCTTTCTATTTATAGTAAAGACGGGGTCTCACTCTTGCTCAGGCTGGTTTCGAACTCCTGACCTCGAGCAATCTGCCTGCCTCGGCCTCCCAGAATGCTAGGATTACAGGCGTGAGCCACTGCGCCCGACCTTCCAATTTATTTTTATTTTCTTCTTCTCTCTCCCTGAGCTTCTCCTAGAGCCATATAGGAAGGCTAAAGATCTCCCTATTGGGTTCCATCACCATGGTAGTTTTTCTCTCCCCAGATACTGCTTTCCTGCTAAGTGACGCCCACGTCACGGCCATGCTCCAATGCCTAGAAGCAGTGGAACAGAACAACCCCCACCTCCTGGCTCAAATTGATGCGTCTATGGTAAAGGGGGCAGGGAATTAACTGTGTCTATGCTGGGCCCTTGGACCTCACCAAGATGTAACCCTCTATAGCAAACTTCTTCTTCACTTAGGCAATTGTGAGCTGAAAGTCTGTCATTTTAAAAAAATGCATGAAGAGAAGGGGAAGTACTATTAAGTACCTGTTGAAGTAAAAGGTCTAAGCTTAGGTCTATTTGCTGGGAGTAGGGGTATGTCTCAAGCCTTGACAGAGAGCTGAGGAGGGATGGGTCTGAATCAGGAATAGGGTTTAGTGTCAGATCAAATGGCTTAGTGTTACATGGAATCTTTTTTTCTTTGATATAAAGAAAATTTTGTTGCCTATGATTAAATCACCTCATCATAATACTCAAGTCAGTGTTTCAGCTAGAATGGAATTGAAGTCCTTACTACTTTTAAAAGGGGATCCCCTCTCCCCTGATTCTTTTGATTTTGATTAAAATAATTTTTAGCAATTATTTTTTAAAAGAGTGAACATGTATATGTTTTCATTTGATTGGTTTTTGGTTACTACCCATTCAATACTTTATATATGCCAGGCATGGTGCTATCTATGTACAATACATGCATCATCTCATTTAATGCTCACAACTCTGAGGTCAGCATTCATCTGATTTTATAGAGGTCATTGAGGCACAGAGTAGATAAGTCACTTGTCCAAAGTTTGGACCAAATAGCTTACAAGTGACAGGGCCCAGATTTGAACCTGGGCCCATATGGCTTCTGATTTCACATGCATAATCTTAAGCACTTTGTTGTGCTGCCTGCATGCTAAAGCACTCCTGGTTTGACCACCTGGAAGGTTTCTAGTGCAGAAGCTGTGACATATAGCAAGACCTCAAGGTTTCAAAGTTATAAACTGTGTGCTATAGTAGAGGGTAATTGTGCTGTATCTACAGGCTATAGCTAAAGTCCACGCCTGCTGCCAAAGGCCAGCTTCGACTAGCATTTCTGAAGTAAATGAGTGCCCCTCCTCTGAAATCCTCTATCTTTGACTGTGAACATTTTGTTTTGTTTTGTTTAGTTCGCCAGAAAGCACGAGAGCCCGCTATTGGTGACAAAGAGCCAGAGCCTGACAGCTCTGCCTGGTTCCACATACACCCCTCCAACCAGCTATGCTCAGCATTCCTACTTTGGGTCCTTCTCTAGCCTGCACCAATCCGTGCCCTACAACAGCTCGGGTATGGGGGCAGGAAGGGGTGGTCATTACATGTATACCCAGCCATGGAAAGTAGAAGACTTTGTTGGTGTTCACAGGCTAGGGATTGAGCATAGGGTTGGTACAGTTTGTCAAACTTCATGTGTTAATGATGGACATCTTAAAATGTTTATTTGGTGACTAGCCTAAGGTAATTCAGTAGAATCATTAAATAACAGAGGAAAGAGAAATGTTTTTAGATTTTCCTGAGTTTCTAATCTATATTTCCAAGAAGGCAGTTAAATAATAGCTAACATTTATTGATTGCCTGCCACATATTATGCTCTGTTATAATCAATTTATATGAAACAATGTATATGTGTTTTCTCATTTGATCCTTAAAACAGTCCTATGAGATAGGTATTATTATTGCTCATTTTCCAGATGAGTGGATACTAATAAGCAATAAAATCACTGTCCCAAGACCCCATACTCTTGACTTAGCTGCTTCTAAATAATTTTTTTACTTTATTTGACTTACCTTTTTTGAGGTAATACCATGTGTCCTGGGCATTCAGTAATAATAATGAGTTTGGTCCTTAGTTGTGGAGAAGCCCTTCATGTATACTGCAGGATTCTAGCTCACCTTTCTCTCCCCTTACCCTTTCTTTTTATATCCTAGAGAGAAGATCTAATTCCTTTTCACTCTCTGGCCCTCCACGGAAACCTCAAGAAAGCAGAGGGCACATCTCACCAGCAGAGGATCGAACTGTCCAAGCCCCCCTGCTTTCAGTCTCTGCACTAGCCAGGGATTCTCCTTCAACCCCAAATGAGATGAGCTCTAGCACTCTAACCAGCCCCATAGAGGCATCCTGGGTCAGCAGCCAAAATGATTCCCCAAGTGATGCCAGTGAGGGGCCTGAGTACCTGGCCATCGGCAACCTGGACCCCCGAGGCCGGACTGCCAGCTGTCAAAGTCACAGCAGCAATGCCGAGAGCAGCAGCTCCAATTTGTTCTCCTCCAGCAGCTCCCAGAAGCCAGATTCTGTTGCTTCTTCCTTAGGAGACCAGGAGGGAGGTAGGGAGAGCCAGCTATCCAGTGTCCTTCGCAGGTCCAGCTTCTCAGAGGGGCAGACACTCACTGTCACCAGTGGGACGAAGAAGAGCCATATTCGCTCCCATTCAGATACCAACATCGCTTCCAAAGGAGCCCCAGGTAATGATGAGCACCAGCTGCTAGATAGCAAGGTGGCCCCTGAATTTAGGGTGGAAAGGGGGTTTGTTTTTGAAATTTTTCAAGTGGCAGAAAGAGAAGTTATGTTTCTGATGACATGATACCCTGCCTTATAATGAAAGAGAGAAGTTTGTAATGTAATACTAATATTCAAAATCTCTGAGGATGTTTGTTCCTGTTATACATTGCTAAATATTAAATACTCCCTGGATTCTTTGCTAGTTCCATGGCAGCAGAGGATACTGTGACTTATCACAGTTCAAGTTTTATTTATTTATTTATTTATTGAAACGAAGTTTATTGAGGAAGGAAAAGATAGGTTTACAGAGCAAGAGAAAGATACAGGTTTATAGAGTAAGAGCAAGATACGTTCACCACAGAACAGCAAATGGCCTCTTGTCATAACAACAAGGCCACCAGTTCAAGTTTAAAATATATCTCTCAGACTGAGGGAAAATATTAATGAGCTTTTAAAATAATCCCATTAAATCCCTTTTCTCTTCCTGTGATTTCTTAGAAGTTTGATCAGGATGTAATACCAATATGAGAGAAACAAAGTGATAGTAGGGTTTTCTAATTAAAACTAGGAATACAGTGAGTGTGGGGTGGTGTGCCTAGTAACCAAGTAGGTGGGGCTGACTGCTGCATCACTGGTGGAGGCTGGGAGGCAGTCAGGTAAGGAGGCCCTGGCCACTGACACCTCCCTCACAGAAGTACCAGCTGATAGCAGGGAGCAGCCTAGACGGGGGAGGGGGAGGGGGAAGAAGGATTTCATTGCTTTTGCCATCTCCCTGCCATTGTCTTTCCTGGGTTTTTGGTGTCTGGCAGGCTTTGGTTGGGTTTCATTTATAGTAGAATTTCTCTAACAGCAAGTATAACATGGACCTTTGTGCTCAAAGCCATTCTGGATCAGGAAAGTCACAGAAATAAAATATTAAAAATTCAATAAGAATGAAAAAAAAAAGGATTTCTTTTAGCAACTGGAGCTGCCATTGCTTTCTCTTTGTAATTTCTAGAAAGGTGAGAGCTAAGGTCCTCATCTGAAACCTTCTAAATGACAAACTTTTTAATTTCTGTTTTCCCTCAAGCATGTGATTTGACTTACTGGAACTCTTTAGGAGAAAAATCTCCAAATCAAAGCCTGTCTTTCCACAAGCTTTCTTAGATGTGAAGAGTGCTTGGGTTAGATCCTCACTTCACATCTGCTGCTGCAGGCCTGGTATCCACTATACTCTAAGCCACTGGCCTTTGAGCATGTATAACTTCCCTGGCCCCATCCTTGAATCCATATGGATTCCAAAATCCACAGTAACCTGCATTGGAAGAGGGAGCCAGGGAAAACCCATGCAGAAGGGTCTAAGGAAGTATGGTTCATGTATAGCTTCTTGTACAAGTCGTCCCTCCTTCAGCACTGGAGTTCCCTCTGAGGAATTGCATACCCACTTTTGCTAAGTAAAATGTAGGACACTCTTTTTTTCTCTCTCTCTCTATTCTTGTTTGCTCTGTCTGGACTCTCTTCTGCACCTGTCTGTCTACCTACAGGAGGCCCCCGGAATATCACCATTATAGTTGAAGACCCCATTGCAGGTTTGGGAGTTGGTCTTCCACCTCCTCTTCCTTCTGCTCCTCTGTGACCATGTTGCTTAGTTCAGAACCTCCTTTTCCAGTCTGGTGTCAAATCAAGTCTGGCTAGTCTGGTCCTGTTGTGATGCTTGGACCTGTCTATAAAATGTCACCAATATTTCATGTGATATGTTTTCTGCCTACAACTTCCAGATGCCTCCTTCAGTCTGCCAATAGCTTCTGGGAGGCAGAGTTAAGACTTACCAATTCAGTTTTTCCCAAAGGTGAAACTGAGGCCTGCTCTTTGTCTAAGGCATCATGATGAATCAGTGGCAGAATTATTCTTAAGACTGAGTACTTCCTGTGGATTATTTTATTTTCCTTGAATTAACACCAGATTGTGTTTTAGCCCATTTCTGTGGTCTTGGATATGCTTGCATGCTTTTTTGCCTCTCCTAGAGTTCCCTGTTTCCTTTTTTCTTTCCCTTAATTATCCTATAAGTTCCTGCACCCCATTGCATCCATTGCACAGGATTTTTCTAGTGACTTAAGTCTGTTTCCTTGGTTTTCATGCTGGTGTTCAAACTGAGTCATGTGTTCCTTTCTGGGTAGCATAATTCATGCAGATATTAACACTAGAATGTGTCTGCAGGACAGAATGGTAAGGGAGGACTGAAAACCATGGCCTCCTTGTAATGGGTGAAGTCACTGGGTGTGTTAGCTTGGAAAAGAGAAGGTTAAAGAGGAATAAAGGCTGTAGGATCATTATTTAGAAGACCATTGTTCTTGAGACGAAAAATTGTAAGAAGGCAGATATCAAGTGAGTGTAAGGAAATTCTAAGAATTAATTGAATGGCCAACATCAGGAGATAGTGATCTCAGTAAGTAAAGGCTGAATGGCCACATGTTGTAAAGAAGTAAAGTGATGGTGTTGGACTTTGTGTTGTGTGCTAGTTTGACTGGGGATCTCAAAGGTCCCTTCCAAGTCACGTTTTTTACGAAGGCATCATGGTGACTGCTAGTTTGTCCTCAGTTTCGTAGTGAGGAGCAGAGCCCACTGCCAGAGCCACCAGAAGTCTTTGAGGTCCAAGGAGAACACAAAATTATCTTTTACCACCTAGTAACACTTTTTTTTTTTTTTTGTGAGAGGAGCAGCTGACAGGTTGGCAATATCAGGGAAATGGATCAGATACAGTTCACTTATTCATTCTCCCACACATCCTGCTCATTTCTCAAGCACCCACTTGTTTTTCAACCTGCTCTTCCCACTGTGGTACTGGAAATTTTGTGTTTCCTTTTGAAGAACATCAGTTTCTCATTTCCTACAAATCCTGCCTGCTGCTGTTCTCACAACTCTCACTGCTCCTATTACTCCTATTGCTAGGCACCTGCTGTTTTGCCAGCCTTCTCTTAAAACCTCTCCCTTCCTTCTCCAGTAAGGATGGGCCCACAGCCCTGTGACTGCGTCGTTTGGTCACAAGGCCCTTTTATTGCCTTAATGTTTCTTTAAAGGACATTACCGGATTTTATTTTGTTTCCTTAGTGAATGTAAACTTTCGGATATTATTATTTTTGGAGGGGGTCTAGCTATGATGCCAAGGCTGATCTCAAACTCCTGGGCTCAATTCTCCTGCTTCAGCTTCCCCCAATTCCTTCTGATATTATTTTAAAACCTAGTATGAAGGTATCAGAAAAGTTTCAATGTGCTTGTCTTTGTTTTACCATCTGCAGACTGTTTTCTAAATTGGTTTGTCAAGAGGATTGAAATTGGCTGATATTCCTATAATGTATGATTAAAAGATGGAAGAAAAGAGAAATGAATTAATGAATCCATTTTGATTTGATTCTTTTTCATCTTTGTGTTGTCCCATTCTGGATCATTTTTCCTCTTTTCCACTGAGAATGTGCTGACTTTCCATTCCTTTCCTCCATGTGTTCCTGTATTCTTGGCTGTTCTCTGTTGGTGTGCCACCTTTCTCCTGTTTGGGAGGGCTTTGGGAATGAATGCAGTTAAATGTTGAAACTCCAAAGTTGGGAATGTATCTGTTGCTCATTTCGTATGTGTGTTTGATTATCCAGAGTGTAGTGGTGTCAGCGTAGCTCACAGCAACCTCAAACTCCTGGGCTAAAGCAATCCTGCCTCAGCCTCTTGAGTAGCTGGTACTACAGGCATGTGCCACCATGCCCGGCTAATTTTTTCTATATATATTTTTAGTTGCCCAATTAATTTCTTTCTATTTTTAGTAGAGACGGGGTCTCACTCTTGCTCAGGCTGGTCTCGAACTCCTGACCTCTAGCGATCCTCCCACTTGGCCTCCCAGAGTGCTGTGATTATAGGTGTGAGCCACTGCGCCCAGCCTACAAAGCACCTTTATCTTGAGACATAGCGTTTACCTTAATACTTCACACACAGGCATATGACTTTGGGAAAGAGCTTGATTGAAATCCTGGGCTTCTTCTCTGTCATGTTTTTATGTAGAAAGTGGGACAGGAGGGGACAGGCATGGCCAGGTAAGAGAGTAAGAGAATCTGGAACAGGTTTTCTGGCCATCAGCTTTCGTTATAGTAAAAATGTATGTTTCCCCTGGGTATTTTCAATAAAAGCAGTACATATCTTGGAAGCTCCACTTTCTAACATTATAATCAGTGAGACATTCGATATTCTAACCTCTTGCCAAGCAACTTCTTTGGTACTCTTTCCCCCAGGAGAATGCCCATTTCAGCATCTCAGAGTCCTTAATTGCTGCCATTGAGCTAATGAAATGCAATATGATGAGCCAGTGCCTAGAAGAGGAGGAAGTAGAGGAGGAAGACAGTGATAGAGAAATCCAGGAACTGAAGCAGAAGATCCGCCTCCGGCGCCAACAGATCCGAACCAAGAATATGTTCCCCATATACCAGGAGACTGAGCATGGAAGTGAGTAAGGCCTATGACCACCTCTGTTCCTACATTTTTAAGGCTTCAGGATTAGGCTTGGTGCCTTGTGGGTTTTCTTTTTGGTTTTCATTTGGGATATTATACCCAAACCAAGGGTTCCTCTACTGTCAGGAAGATAATTCTATGTTGTTCTGGTTTTTTCCTATCAAGCTAGGAATACTCATCCTAGAGTTCATTCATTTCCTACATCAGAAAAACCTCTCTTTCAAAATAGATTTTTTTTATCCTTTTGAGATAGGGTCTTGCTAAGTTACCCTGGCTGGTTCAAGCTACTGGGCTCAAGTGACCCTCCTGCCTCAGTTTCCTGAGTTCTTGGGATTACAGGCACATGCTACCATGCCTAACTTCAAAACTGGTTTCTGATATGAGGAGAACTAAGAACCCTGGTCCTAGATTTGCTCCCCAGATAGTAGTACCTTCTGTTTACTTAAAACTTTCTAAAGGGGTAAACCAGCAAGAAGTGCTAGATTCCACTTCAACAGTATCACTCCCACCCAAGGTTCCATTTGTTTTTGTTGAATTGTACCAGTCCTATTTATTTATTTATTTATTTATTACAATCCAGACATCGAGGATACCAGGTCCCTTTTATTGTGATACCTCTTTCTGTCCTGTTTATTACCTTTTTTTTTTTTTTTTTAAACATAACAGGCTTTCGGGTTACCTCCAGCAGCTCCCAGTTCAGTTCACGTGATTCAGCACAGTTCTCTGATTCTGGCTCTGCTGATGAGGTTGATGAATTAGAAATCCACGGTAAGAAGTGAAACTTTGTTACAAGGGAGCTTTCATTACCTGTTTCTTTCAATTTGGAATCATTGGCTGAGAAGCTTTTCCTAAGTGAAAGATTTTCATTATGGTCCATTATGGATTATTGTCAGCTATTTTAAGGGACAGCTTCTCTTGCTAAAAACCAAACCCCTTTAAAATTTAAGCAGACAAGAACACTGAAAAGAAGTGGTCCATATGGAGTGGGCTGGCTGTTCGAGTCTTCAATTGTATCTTTCTCCTGGGTTCTCACTCTGATTCTTTCGTCTAGCTCCTAGAGTTGGCTCATACCACATGAAATTAGAATCCTATTCTCTTGTGCTCCATAACACAACTGAAATTGTTTCAAAGTGTGTAAAAGGAGCTTTATTATAATCCTAAGAGAAAAAGACAAAAAGAATCATGTGGGGGGAAAGCAAAAAAGGGGAAAAAATCCAGTTTATAAAATAGAGCTTTAATTTGTGTCATGCCAGTACTAACTTCCTTAGCAAAATCATAGGCTCTTTCTGTTGTTATTATTGTTACTGTTGTTAGCATAGAGAAGGGGAAGAGTTCTAATCTGGGAAGGCAGTTGTGTTAAATCAGGCTAATGTCCCATTCTTGCAAATCATTTCTTCAAGTTCACATCAGTAAAACAGACAGAAAAACAGTTCAGAGGCATAAGCTCTTCCCTCATGGGTGAAACCAAGAGTAATTTCCTTACAGAAGTGAATTGTATCTATAGTTCTTTACTACCACACACACACACACACACACACACACACACACACACACACCACACACACAGGTGAATTATGTCTGTAATTCTACATTATAACATTGGAATATGATGATGAATAGATCTTTTATTACATGAAGCTCTGATTTCCTTTTTATATCAATCTAGAGAACCCACTCACCTGCACAGACCTCCAGATGCAGGACCAGGTTTCTTCCCCCTTTACAAATTCAGTTTTTACACATATTTTCCAGGTCTCCAAGAAGTCTTCCTTCTGTGTTCTCCTTAATGTATCTGATTTCTGTTCATGACAGTAATAGGTAGTCACTTAAAACTCCATTTTTTTCTTTAAATGTGGTTTTCCAATAATTCTCCAATTCTTCACCACTAACTGAGTGTCCTACCATTCAATTCCGATACTAACTACCTAGAGTTAGCACAGATCCCACATGTTAAGGGTTCAGTCCTGTGAGATTAATCCGACTTCGGATGCCAGAGACAAGTAGGGTCACCAGGCTACCTACACTTTTGCTCGACTGGCTATAAATTCAGGCATTCCCATGACCCCCTTACCCCTATGTTCAGTAATTCACTAGAATGACACAAAATTTAGGAAAGCACTATACTTATGATTATAGTTCATTATAAAGTATACAAATAAACAGCCATATGAAATGGTACATAGGGCAAGGTCCTGAAGGGTCCCGAGCACAGGAACTTTTGTCCCTGTAGAGTCAGGGTGCTTCACCTTCCCAGTACATTGATATGTTCACCAACCAGGAAGCGCTCCCCAAACCTCTTTGTTCCAAGGTTTTTATTGAAATTTTCTTATGTGGCATGATTGATTAAGTCATTGGCCATTGGTAATTGAACTCAATCTTCAGCCCCTCTCCCCTTCCTGGAGGTGAAAGTTCAAATCCTCTAATCATGTGACTGGTTTTTCTGGTGACCAGCCCCCATTCTGAAGCTATCTAGGGGCCTAATAAGGTGACCAAGCGTCACCTTATTAGCATACACTTAGGTATGATTGAAAGGGGGCTCCTTTTAAACAATAAAAGTCATTGCTATGATTCAGGATATTACAAGGGTTTTAGGAGCTTTGTGCCAGGAACCAGGGACAAAGATCAAATAAATTTTATTATACCATAGTCTATGATTGACTTGATCTTCTAATTAGAAGAAAATAAGACAGTTCTGCCCTCTCTTTCAGATCAGTCAACAGAATTTCATGAGAGTAATCTTAATGTAAATTGAGAACATTCTGCTTTACGGGGTGTGGAGCAGTCCACTTGACTAAACTCACTTTTCTGAAGCAAACCAGGGAGCCAGAGGCAGTGATTCAGTCTGGAAGGAGACTGCCTATGGGAAACAAAAAGTACACTCCTGTTGGAAGTGTTGCTACAGTTGTGTGCCCTAAAGAGATGTTTAATCAACTAATTCTCTAGTCCGTTCAGAGCAGAAATCTGTAAAGGAAAAGACCTTAAGACAGGGTTTCTTATCCTCTAGAATTGATAATTCTTTGTTGTGAGGGACTTTGCCGTGCCATTTAAGATGTTTAGCATCATCGTGACCTATTCCAACTAGATTGCTCTAGTACCTTCCTCCCTAGTCAAGACAATCAAAAATGTCTCCAGACATTACCAAAATCACCCCTGGTTGAGAACCACTGCCTTAGGAGATCCTTGATGGTAGGCTGGTATGGGAGCAAAAACTATCTTCCAAACTATAGTGAGTACCTAGCTGTGGATGTAACTTCTTAAAAGCCATTTCATCTTTGATTCCAGGAATATGTGGTATAGAACTGTCATTCTTGTCAGTTTACTTCTTGTCGGAATACTAAAGGGCCCCCTTTTATAATCATTATTACACAGATGATAGCGAAGGATCTAACCTGACTCACATGTCAAAGAATGGACTCTCAGTGTCGATGGCCTCGATGTTCTCAGGTAGCCTGTGTTGGAAGTGTGGATGTGCTCATACATGCATGTGCCTAAATATTGTAGCAGCTTTTTTGTATCAAGTGATCATGTGATACCTGTCAAGGTTATGAGGACTTTAGGGTCTGGAGAACTAGTTGGAAAAAACTGGACTTAAGCCAGAATAACAAGCCAGGAACAATTTAGATATTCAAATATTCTTCCTCATATGACTCCAAAAGTCCCCTCAGTAAGTTTGTCCTTGTTGATTCTTCCCTGCAATGATAATTTTAGATTAAGTGGTCATTGTGACTGATAGAGATAGTGCACAGTTTAGAAAGGAATGGTGAGATAAATAATTTTGGTTCAAACCTATATTTAAGCTACTGCTACACATTCAGATAGCAAAAGTGGGATAGAATGGTATGCAGCTTAGTGTCTCTTTTGAATTTGAAGAGCCAACTTTCAGAAAGCTATCTTTGCTTGGTACTTCATATAGAATTAGGATTTACTGCTATAAATTCTATAATGTATAGGATTTACTGCCATAAATGTTGGTTTTTAGTAATTGCTTTGTGATCTAAATAAGTAGGCTTTCTGTAGGTGCGGTTAACTAAAAGAAAGTAGCAGTTTTCTACTCAAAATGGTTTTAAAACACATAAATAACATAAATCAGAACTTTTTAAAATTTGAGAGAGTCTCACTCTGTTGCCTAGGCTAGAGTGCCATGACGTCAGCCTAGCTCACAGCAACCTCAAACTCCTGGGCTCAAGCAATCCTTCTGCCTCTGCCTCCCAAGTAGCTGGGACTGCAGGCATGCGCCACCATGCCCAGCTAATTTTTTCTATATATATATTAGTTGGCCAATTAATTTCTTTCTATTTATAGTAGAGACGGGGTCTCGCTCTTGCTCAGGTTGGTTTCGAACTCCTGAGCTCAAAGGATCCGCCCGCCTCAGCCTCCCAGAGAGCTAGGATTACAGGCATGAGCCACCACGCCCGGCTACGTTATTTATTTAAAAATAGCTAGAAGAGGAGATTTATAGCATTCTCAACACAAAGAATTGATAAATGTTCAAGGTGATGAGTATCCTCAGTACCTTTATTTGATCATTACATTATGTGCAGGTATCCAAATATCACATGTACCACATAAATATATATAAATATTATTTATCAATTTTTTAATTAAAAAAAGATTTGAACAAGTAATAATTTGGTCCCTTTTTCTTTACTTCTGAACTGTTATAATTTATTCTAACATTATTCTTTCCTTGTTTGAGAAGTTATTATCCTAAGTCACTTTTTAACTGGTTTCTTATGTATTTATAGGCGAGGTCCTTTGCCTGGTGCATTTATTGACTGTCAGCCACTTCTCCATCAGAGCATATTCAGTCTGCTTTAATCATAAGGCATACCTTTATTTGGTCTTCCTAGCATCCTTTGTTTCCCCATTTTGGGAGCTTTAAAATTTATATACATATGACAGGTTTTAACCCAAAAATATGAAACATTTTTCAACTAAAAAACTATTTTTCCTTTTGAGCCACAATCCCACCACTGTATTGGGCATGAGAGGAAAACAGTCAGAACAAGTTTCTATCAAAAGTAATGACTTAAGTTTTTGTGGTCCTTTCTATACACAGCTTCAATTACAAAAGTATAATTTACAGTTCATTTTTATCTACTTTAGATTCCTTTATTGCTTTCTGTTCTTTGTCACCTGTTTCTACTCTTTCAAAAAAATGTTTATTTTTTATGTTTTAATGTTTTTTTTTAAGAGACAGGGTCTTACTGTGTTACTGAGACTGGACTGGAGTGCAATAGCACCATCCTGGGCTCAAGCAATGTTTTTGTTTTTGTTTTTTTTGAGACAGAGTCTCACTCTGTTGCCCAGGCTAGAGTGCCATGGCGTCAGCCTAGCTCACAGCATCCTCAAACTCCTGGGCTCAAGCAATCCTGCTGCCTCAGCCTCCAGAGTAACTGGGACTACAGGCATGCGCCACCATGCCTGGCTAATTTTTTCTTTATATATGTTGGCCAACTAATTCTTTCTATAGTAGAGACAGGGTCTCGCTCTTGCTCAGGCTGGTTTCAAACTCCTGACCTCGAGCGATCCGCCGCCTCAGCCTTCCAGAGAGCTAGGATTACAGGCGTGAGCTACCGCGCCCGGCTAACTAACATCTGTTTCTTTATTTAAAAAACAATTTTTGCAGTGCTTTCCTTCAGAAATGATATTAATTTTTTAAAGGCAATTTTACTGTGGTATAATTTTATATGTCATAATTCCCCCACTTCAAGTATATACAACTCAGTCATTTTTAGTAAATTTACCAAGTTGTACAACCATCACCATGATCTAGTTCTAGAACATTTTCATCTTCCCAGTAGGATCCCTTGTGCCTATTCACAGTTAATTCCAGTTCCCATCCCCAGCCCTAGTCAACGACTAATCTACTATAGATTTGTCTTTTCTGGACATTTCATATACATGGAATCATAATATGTGATATATGATCTTTTGTATCTGGGTTCCTTCACTTCGTCTATTTCTGCTGATGGTATCTGCTAAATTGGTTTGATATTATTCATAAGTTTCCGATCCCAGACTTTTCAACTTCTTTGGTTTGTGGTATCCTTGTTTTGGGTTTTTTTCCCCTCTTCATCCTCTTCTGTTATAGCTTCATCAATATTTCTTTATCTTCCTTTGTAGATTCTTCTAGAGTTTCAGTCTTCTGCCTATCTATATGTGGTCAAGGTCCAATCAGGAGACAGAAACCATTTGAATAAGGAAAGTTTAATATAAAGAATTATTAGCTATAATGGGATATCTGTGTAATGGGAGATTGGCTCATGAGAAGTAAAGGGAACTCTAAAGAATACAGGAGAGCATGGGCCAGGCGCAGTGGCTCACGCCTGTCGGCAGGCGATTGTTTGAGCTAGGAGTTCGAAACCATCCTGAGCAAGAGTGAGACCCCATCTCTACTATAAATAGAAAGAAATCAATTGGCCAACTAACATATATATAGAAAAAATTAGCCGGGCATGATGGCACATGCCTGTAGTCCCAGCTACTCTGGAGGCTGAGGCAGCAGGATTGCTTGAGCCAGGAGTTTGAGGTTGCTGTGAGCTAGGCTGACTCCACGGCACTCACTCTAGCCTGGGCAACAAAGTGAGACTCTGTCTCAAAAAAAAAAAAAAAAAAGAATACAGGAGAGCAGATAAGAAATAGTGCTGAGGAAGGAACAAATGTAAAAGAGGACCACATTCCCAAGGCTGAGATCCAGACCTCTTGGCTTATTGGATGGTGGAGAAGTTCTCTGAAGCACAAAGCTGCCCCAAGGTAGTACCAGGGGACACTATCCATGAGGAGATGCTATGCCAGCAACTCTCGCTAGGAAACCATTCTCTAGGGTGGTAGGAGAGGCTGCCCCTAGAGAGGTGTTGGGCCTTAGGACTCAAGGAGTACTGGGGAAAATAGTCCATGAGGAGGTGGTAGGCCTATGGCACTAACAGTAAAGCTCTCCCAGGAAGCCATCCCAGGGGATACCAAGGAGAGTTGTTTATGAGAGGTACCACCGCTGGCACTCTGCTGCAAAGTTGCCCAAGGCATGCTTCCCCAGGGAAATTCACATGCACTACAGGAGTCGGCCTAGAGGAGCACACAAGAACCAGCATCTCTCCAGTGCCCTCTACTGACAGACCTTAATGTCGTGCCAGCTGGCAAAAGAACCATTTATGGGTCTAGCTCCATTATCACAGAGCAAGCAAAAATAAGGGCAGATTTGGAACTGAAAAGAAATAAATTGACAGCTAGCATAATATATAAAGAGGAAACTTCATGAACTGTATTTAGAATTTTATCCAATTCAAGGTAATCAGTTGTTTCTCCGCCTCCCCCTGCCTCTTTAATCAAATTTTCTCTTGTGGTTCTCTGCCTTAAAGTGTTTCCTCTTGAGTTAGCAATTACAGAAAATTCATTAGAGTTGAATTCCCAGATGTATTGGATTTGACCTTAAAAACAGGATGGGAAGCTACATCAAACTGGCCAGTAAAGTCTGAGACGGACTCTTCCTGTGCCTCACTTATTTTGTTTAAACATTTACATCTTTTGCTAAGGTACTTAGGTTTTAACCAGTTATTTCCTGATCACCCAATACCAGTGTCTGGACATACAGCAAATTCTTCTCCTTATAATATGTCATTGTTTTTGTTGTTTATTTTTATATTTTTTTCAGTCAGTAATAATAGCCTTATCCTATCTAAAGCATTAAAAGTCCTTGAAATCAGATCTCTTGAAAAATATGTTTGTTTTTGTAGAAAAAAAATTAAAATTAATAAGAAGTTTCATAATTATGTTTAATTCCACTTGAAGGATTAGTTTCTCAGACTTCTAAAGTGCTCTCACTTGGGGTACATTTAATACATCCAATTGAATAGCTTCCTCCTCTCTCTTTTCTCCTAAATTATCTGTCTGTCTTAGACTCTGGTCTGCTTTCACTCAGATCCTTAACTAGTGTTCCCACCATGCCAGCTTAGTCATCTGCCTAGTCATCTGCTATCCATAAAGCTCTATGGTACTTGATCAGTGTCAAGTGTCATGTCCCCTTTGAAATCAAGTGCTGCCTCTCCCCATCCACCTCTGGAGGTAAGAGTTTTACCTCCAAAGTCACATGGTCCTCTGTACTCTTGCAAGTATTACTGATTAGCTAGGAACTCCTGCACATACTTCTGACCTTATTGTACCTCTGGTAAAAAAAAAAAAAACAAGGAGGAAACATGATAAATATATTTTCTAAAAACAGGGAATGATTTTTTTTCTCTCAAAGAAGAAAAGACTTCCTGTCTGTGAGGATAAAGAACTTCTAAATAGTTTTATGAACACAGAGGTTCCTTAGCAACCATGAATTATCACTCACCCCTCTTCTCTCTAATGTGTACTGTTTTCTTTAATAACCTAGTACTAAAGTAACAAAATTGGTTAGCTCTTTATTCAGGGCTGTCTAAGGTTTTCTCATTTTTTTCCTTTCTGTTATTCATAAACAGGATGAAATTTGCAAAAGCTTTTAATTGCTTTTAGCCAATCAATCATTTATTTAGGAACTATTTTCTGTAAACCTATTATGTACAAAGCATCATGAGAATTACTAGGACAGGGCAGTACTTATGTCACAATCCACAGCAGTGTAAGTGTTATCTGAAGACATGTTGCAAACCAAACAATCTACCTCGGTCTAGTCTACTGTTTCCTACCCTTTTTTTCTTTTCTCTAATAGCACCAATTATATGGAAATAGACAGCTAGCAGTGCATTGGGATCTGGGTTTTGGTGATATAAGTTCGAACAGAAAATATGATTATATATGAACATCTTCGTTGTTAAATAAAATAGGCTTTGTTAATTGCTAGCAAAAATGTATTGTCCTGTTTTTCTGTCCTTAGCATATGAAAACACATATTTCAATCCTGTTATCTTACTCATGTGCATAGCTTTGAAGACATCAGTTTATCAGCAATATTATTTAAGTATGTGCTTATATACAGAGCCCTGTGTTAAGTATTTTAGAGCCAAAAGAAGAATTAGAGACAATCTCATTTCCTCACAAGGAGATTTTATAACCTAGTTGTACATACAAAAAAATCTATATACAGGGGAAACATTTGAGGAACAATTGAGCTACCCATGGCCAAATGCAGAGTGATGTTATTATATAAGTTTAGTGCTCTATTGAGCACTCTATTGAGCTCAATCGATCATTGTATAGTCTTAATTAGGAAATAAAGGTCTTTTCACTGGGCATCGAAGGAACAGATAATATTTATTAGAACAGTCTTGTTTCCATGACTTGGAAAGGCTCTATCTTCCTTTCTTGAACATGACTGCTATATTTCACATTTCCCTCTGTAAAAAGTGTTCCAGTAGATGAGGCCTCTGGAGGTTCAAGCATGTTATTTTATAAATCCTCTTCTGAAAAATGGGGTCTCTCTGTGTTACTTGGGCTGGAGTGCAGTGGCTATTCACATGTGTAATTGTAGCGTACTACAGCCTCAAACTCCTGGGCTCAAACGATCCCTCTGCCTCAGCCTCCTGAGTGGCTGGGAGTACAGTCATGTGCCACAGCACCCAGCTTTCACATGCATTTAATGAGTAACCACTATGACACAAGTTATGTGTTAAGTACTAATTTTTTTATATATATGTAAAAGAGCCAGATGGAGTTATGGCCTCTGTGAGCTTGCCATTTAAGAAAGCTTGAGATTTAGAGAATGAGGGAGAAATTTGAATCATTCATTTTGTGTTTCTGTTTGCTAGAGGTTGTGTCCCTGTGTGCCTTAGAATGATTCCTTTTCACACTCACTGCTTTATTCCAAGTCTGGGTTTGTGCTTCCACCTGGATAGTGCTGAGCATAATGTCACTGATTCATTCTGGTTTTGACTTGAATAGAGCTAAATTATAAGTTGTGTTTAGTGCTTCACCTGCTCCTTATGCTGCATAGAATATAGCACCTACCTGCTACCCTTAGTGCTTAGCTTTACAAAATGCCTTGTGATGGTTTCATTATCCTTTACCCCTTCTCTTTCCATTTCTGCTTCCCTCATCTCTGGTTTCCCTTTAGATGCTGACATCAGAAGGAGCACAGCCTCAAGCAGCAAATCCTTCATTTCTTCTCAGTCCTTGTGAGTACTTTTTTTAAAATAAAACTTTGGGATATGTGAAGAGATAAGCCCAGTTCTTTGCATGTGGGTAGGAATGGTCATGGGAAAAGCCATCCAAATTCACAAAGAGGCAAGGTTAAAGTGACAGGCCTGCCTGATAGTGGTAAGCCCAAGGGGAGACAGCAGAATATCTTTGGTCCAAACAAGATGGACTCTCAGGGAGGCAAAGCTCAAAATGTGAATTTTTCCTTCTTGGCTGACTCATAACCAGAGCCCCAGAAAGGAGAGCAGTGATCGTGATTTTTGTTATGAAACCAAATTGAATAGGTTCTACTTTATAGACCCAAGTAGGGGAAATAGTAGCTCATTTAGGAGGAAAAATAGCTCTTTATAGTCCACAGAGCTGTTTTACTCACTTTATTTTGTAAGCAGGCGTTATAATCTTCATTTTGCAGCTAAAGAAACTAAAGTTCAAAGAAAGGAAGTGACAGAGTCCTTAATTAGCTGTGCCATGTAATACCAGTAAGTGGAATTTGAACCGAAGTCCTAGGACTTTAAGACCAGTATGTTTGTCACTGCATATGTGTGAGAAGATGATGAGAAAAGCAGCTGAGTAGATGAGGGGTGCTGCGAGTATTCTCTTAGCCCAGAAGTTACCATGTATGATACCAGGTCCTAAAGGGAAGCTCCATCTGCCTGTCTTTTCCCCATGCTCAGCTTCCCTTGATTCTCTCCTTTCCAGCTCCCATTGCTTCATGCACTCCACATCTGCTGAGGCAGTGGCCATGGGGCTCCTGAAGCAGTTTGAGGGGATGCAGCTTCCAGCTGCCTCGGAGCTGGAGTGGCTAGTCCCAGAGCATGATGCTCCTCAGAAGGTAGGCTCTTAAGCTCTTCTTCCCTACCCAGGAGGCTGTGAGCCTTTCTGGTCTTGTTCTCCTTTGTCACATGTCCCCAGTCTAGAATGAGCCTGTGTGTTTCCTTCCTTACTCAAAGAAGCCATTTATTACAAATGTGTTGAATGAATACACAGATGAATGAATACTTGCTTGCCTAGATTTTCCCTAGTAATTGTCAAAACAAGAGATAAAGGTTCCTTCACTGTCCTTATTCCACATGACTGCTCACTAGACCCAGAGGTGCAACTCTTGTTTTGTCACTACCTTTGAGACACATGAAAGTGAATTGTTTAGACTGTTCTTTGCTCTGCAGTTGAGTTTCTAAGGCATAAAGCACCTGGAATACCAAGGGTATTGAGATAAGTCCAGGGACATCATCAGCAATAGGTGCCACCACTGGGATGCTGGCTTTGATTGCTTCTTGGAATGCCTGGTGCCTCCTGGTTGGTTTGGAGGGCCAAGGTTCTCTAAAGCCCTTACCCTGTGGTATTCTTGAAATGTCTTTCATTAATTCTGCTCTGTCATTGCCAGAAACGTGAAGCGTTTGTGTCTTCCCAGACTGTGCATGTTAGCTCACCCTGTGCTTTTCTCCTGTAGCTTCTGCCCATCCCTGACTCATTGCCCATCTCACCGGATGATGGGCAGCATGCTGACATCTACAAGCTGCGTATCCGTGTTCGTGGCAACCTGGAGTGGGCCCCACCACGGCCTCAGATAATTTTTAATGTTCATCCAGCCCCAACGTGAGTAGCCAATGTCTCTGCCCTTTGGAAAACAGATACATCCTCTTTGGATTGTCAGGGCTTCCTCCTGTCCCTGTTGTCTCTGCCTCCAGCTGTACTTCCCACACAATTCTGTCCATTTAAAGGCAGAGGAAGAGGATTATCCATTTTGTCCTTAAGTCTTACACCGAATCCTCCTCTTCCTTCCCAGAGCTAATTGGAAATGAGGTCTTTTTTTCTCTGGCATGCCTCCCCTGTTGCCTTCCTCCCAATAGATTTGTGAGCTTACTGGTTATTCTTTTCCTTTTAAGAGGGATGGATGCTTTTTGCTCCTGTTATTCTCTCCCCTTCACTATTTCTCATCCCTTATAATTGTCCAGAAAGTGTGGTTCATTATTAGGGAGAGTCACTGCCTAGACCTTACCTCTTGGGGCAGATGAGAAGGGCTGCTCATCTTCTTTAATGTTCTGTGATGAAATGCATGGGTTGTGCAGAAAGTGTGGTTCATTACTAGGGAAAGTCACTACCTAGACCTAAATCCTAACTTAATCTTCAGTTTGATTTAGTTCTCCCAATAGCTTCATTTGGTTCAGCTAAAACAAGAGGTGAATTCCCCTCCCTTCCCACACTTTATAAGAATTCTATGTTTGTATCTTCATCCTTTATACCTCAGAGGCCGCATGCACCTGCTATCTGCCAATCTCCTCTCCTTCCCCTTCCTTAGGAGGAAAATTGCTGTGGCCAAGCAGAATTACCGCTGTGCGGGATGTGGCATCCGGACTGACCCTGGTGAGTATCTTCGGTTACCACCATACTGCCTCTAAGAGCTTTACCCTCTCCCACACCTAGGACAGAGGGCTTGTCAGAGGCAGTAAGAGGAGGTGACAGGAAGAATTGCAGAAGGGGAAAGTAAGGGTCTGGAGGAAATGGGTAGGACTAGGCATGAGCACTGGCAATCAGAGGGAAATTACTTCTGGGAGCACATTATCAGGATTGTTTACTGGAGAATGTTGGGTAGTTTCAGCTAGGTTCTTGGAGACTGAGTCTTGGCAGGTTTTGTTTGTTTCCCCAGTGGCCTCCTGGGTGGGACATAGGTATCACAGGCGCCACTATGTGGGTTTCTGTCAGCTTTGGGGAGCTGACCAGAGGTGGCTGGAGGCCACTGGCTGTCCTCCCTACCCTTTCAATCAAGAGGATAACCTTACCAGCTTATAGTGGGAAAGTCTCATCTGGTCCTTTGGCTTTCCCGTTTTTCTAGATTATATCAAGCGGCTGCGGTACTGTGAGTATTTGGGCAAGTACTTCTGTCAGTGCTGCCATGAGAATGCCCAGATGGTCATCCCCAGCCGGATTCTGCGCAAGTGGGACTTCAGCAAGTACTATGTCAGCAATTTCTCCAAGGACCTGCTCATTAAGATCTGGAATGATCCTCTCTTCAATGTGCAGGACATCAACACCGCCCTCTATAGGAAGGTCAAGCTGCTTAATCAAGTCCGAGTAAGACCCTTGAATAGGCCACATCAGAGATTCTTACCTTTCTCCTCTCCTCATCCCATCCCTCTGTTCATGCAGGACTTTCCAAGCTTACCACACTTCTCGTTATCACAATTTCAGAGCTGTAACTGTGTCATCATTCATGCTCTCCCTATGTACTTTCTTAATCTCTTCCCATTCCCCAGGTATCTCTCTAGTCAGAGCCTCAAACCTGGCAATGGCAGCTCTGAAGCTATAGACAGTGCTTAATGGCAAAAGCAGAATTTCTCCCTTCACAGAAAATATTATTGAATGGAGAATCGGGTATTAAGTGGGAAATTCAAATTCTGGGATTCTCAGCTACTCTGGGCTATGTTTGTGATTTGTGCAGACTGACCTGGTAGAGGAGCCTTCCCAGAATGGAGATTACTTTGAAGCAGATTGTTGAGTTAGATAGAGGTGTAGAGGGCAGTCTGATCTGCCTGCTACATGCAAAACGTCCAGACCTCCAGGGTTTAAAGGCACTGGTCTTTCTAACAGTTGATTCTCTTCTCTACTCCACACCCCCACCCCACCCCCACTTTCTCTTCAGCTGCTGCGGGTCCAGCTGTATCACATGAAGAACATGTTCAAGACATGCCGGCTGGCCAAAGAGTAAGTCTTGTGTGGAGGCCAGAGTCCTTTGGTGGAGTAAACATCTCTGAAACAGTTGGCTCTTGTTATGTGAAGGAGAATAGAGGGATTTGATAGAAATGTAAATGGTAAATGAGAAGCCACAGCAGTAACTGTATGTGTATCCTTCTCTCTTGAAGGGGAAATCTATGGTTCTTCTATCAGGACAGGCTACCACTCTTTGTAGGCTAGCATAGATCACTAATAAATAAGTCACTTCTGTAATCCAGACACCTGGTAGTGTTTGAAGGCTGAGGTGGCCTGGAGCACTTGGGCTGGCTGAATCTTGCCCACCCTTATTACTTTATCTCTCCTGCTTTTCTGGATAGGGAACCTTCTGCTATCATGTGCCACACAAAGTGTTTGTTCTCTCCCCTAACCTCCTCCCCTCATTTCCTGTAGGCTTCTGGATTCCTTTGACACAGTCCCAGGCCACCTGACGGAAGATCTCCACCTGTACTCACTGAATGACCTGACTGCAACCAGGAAGGGGGAGCTGGGGCCCCGGCTTGCTGAGCTCACCAGGGCAGGGGCTGCCCACGTAGAACGGTGCATGGTGAGAAAGTCTTGCATTAGCATGCAGCTGAGCCCTTGCTTAGGGAAATGGGGAGTGGGGTGGCCCCAGGGTTCTTGCCTTTTAGCTCCAGGAAGTTGACATGGCCAATCAACACTGTAAGAGAAACTGAAGAGGGTTGCTGTTCCAGCTAAATCATCCAGATGTAAAAAAAACAAGAATTAGAAAAGGAATTGGTGCCAACATTGCCCCTGCGTAGTTCCAGGCAGGACTGAGCAGACTCACTAAAGAATTGTTATGATGTAGGAGGAGAACCCTGGAATCTGGAGAGAGATTCTAATCTGGGTCTTAGCTTTATTATTTTCAATCACTGTGACCAAAAGAAATACTTTGCCTTTTCTGAAAGAAGATAAAAACTCTACCGTGTTTCCCCCAAAATAAGACAGGGTCTTGTATTTATTTTTCCTCAAGAAGACACCCTAGGGCTTATTTTCAGGGGATGTGTTATTTTTTTAAGTACGGTACAACAATCTACATTTATTCAAATATAGTTAAGTCGTCTTCTTATGGAACATCATCATAATTCTTCAAACCCGAATTCCATCCTGAATTTCTTACCACTCTATTTCCTTTAGAACCATTGGCCCCAATCTCTCCTGTCGAGCAATAGGGCTCTCTTGGGGCAGATGAGAAGGGCTGCTCATCTTCTTTACTGCTCCGTGATGAAATGCATGGGTTGTGCAGATACGCTGTGTAGCCATGGCCATCCCTAGGTCTTATTTTCAGGGTAGGGCTTATATTGTGCAAAAGCTTAGAAATCCTACTAGGGCTTATTTTATGGGTAGGTCTTATTTTTGGGGAAACATGGTATACACACTTTCCTCTCAGTATTTTTGAAGATTGTTGAAACAATTTACGTGATGGCATTTTGTAAGCTTTTTTTTATTTTGACAGGGTCTCACGATATTGCCCAAGCTGGTCATGAACTCCTGGGCACAAGGGATTGTACTGCCTCAGCCTCCCGAGTAGCTAAGACTACAGGCAGGCACCACCATGCCTAGTTTTTTATGTTTGTGGAGATGGGGTCTTGCTATGTTGCACAGGCTGGTCTCAAACTCTTGGGCTCAAGTGAACCTCCCGCCCAGCCTCCTGAGTCACTGGGATTACAGGCGTGAGCCACTGTGCCTAGCTCTTGTCTCCTCCTTAAAGCTTTGTCTGACACCACCTAGCCTGGCCCTAGTTTGGCTTTCATGTTTCTAAGTCCAGCCCAGGCTTCTTCCCTTAGCCCACTCAATTTTTATTTATATTTTTCTCCTCCCTCTCTGGGGTTCACACTTCTGGGCCAGTTCCTGATGTGCTGCCTATCATTTTGCTACTTGTCTCTTTCCTCCCCAGCTCTGCCAAGCCAAGGGCTTCATCTGTGAGTTCTGTCAGAATGAGGAAGACGTCATCTTTCCTTTTGAGCTCCATAAGTGCCGGACCTGCGAAGGTGAGGGCTGGTGCTAGGAGTGAGACAAGCAAGACTGAATACAAAGCTCATTAATTTCCCTTGAGCCACCCTGTTAGCAAGAGTTTGGTTTCATTCAGCAGTTCCCCATGTTTCTCCACCAGAGCACTGAGCCATGGTGGTGAGAAGGGGCAGCAGCAGTGACTTCCTTCCTGCTTTAGATAATACAAATTGTTTTCTTCTCTCTCTCACCCTCCCAACCTGAACAGAGTGCAAAGCGTGTTACCATAAAGCTTGCTTCAAGTCTGGAAGCTGTCCCCGGTGTGAGCGGCTGCAGGCCCGACGGGAGTTGCTGGCCAAGCAAAGCTTGGAGTCCTACATGTCAGACTATGAGGAGGAACCCACTGAAGCCTTGGCCCTAGAAGCCACCATCCTGGAGACTACCTGAAGAAAGCACATTAGGCCCTCTACCTAGAGGCTGAGGTCATACGTAATGCGGAACTGAGCCACCGCTTTTAAGGACTTTCCCCACTTGGGGCTCTTTTGTTTTTTTTATTATCATCATTATTATTTTTTATGTCTTGTCTGATGTCTGTGTGTCGTCAGCCTTTGATAGGTTGATGGGGTCCAGCCTGTTACAGATGAATTGTAAGCACCAGGTATTTCCATCAGAACTGACATGTAGGTTCTTACGTGAAGCTTTCTCTGTCAGGGGAATGGACAGCAAGACCCAGTTCTTCTGACATACATGGCCTTCTCTACTAGGACCAGATCTGGTTTCAGCCATATCTCAAGTGTCACTTCAAGTTTTATTTTGTTTTAGTTCTAGAGCTTCTGAGCCAGACCTTTCTTAACCAACTCTCTTCTTTGCTGCTAAAACAGGGAGATGGAGTTTTCTCTCTTCTAATCCTGAAACAGGGTCAGACTCTGCCCTAATGAGGAGAAGCAGCAGAGAATGGGACTGCATCATGGGCATTCTTTCCAACTTATTTCAGTATTTTGGGGGCCATAAAAACAGAATCATTACTATCCTAGAATCCTCAGAGACCTCAGAGAGGCATCCATAACTTCTCTGGTTGAAACATTCTAGGCATAGATGATCTGACTTTCTTTGTCTACTCCAGTGTGCTTGAAGCAAAAAACAGAACTTACACTTAGGCGAAGCCCATTTGTAGCCTTATGCCACAAGCATAATTGAGGCCATGACTCTGTTGCTTAAGGAGCATTTAGTCAGTTATAGGAGCTATTGGCCTCCTCTTAGGTGTTAAACTCTCTTTTAACCTAGTTCTTTGGTAAAAGTATGCTCTTTCAAGCTTAGGCAAGTCCCTAATGCCATGCTAAGGTGAGGACAGAAATCCCCACACACCATCTTAGTGGGTCCCTTCCTACCCTGTCCTCTGTTAGATGATCATTTATAGTTCTGAGCCCAAGTATGGCCCAACTCCTTTCTCTCTCTCCCTCGTGCAACAGAGCTAGGACCTTCCTTGGTGGCTGAGTGTCTCTTGCCTTAGTTTCTTTTGTCAAAGTTGGGGGGAAAGCTTCCTGCTATTTAGTGGTGTTATAAAACTTGACAGTTTGTGAATGCGTGTGAATGTTTTTGTGTTCTTGGGATAACAAGAGCCTTTATGCCAATTATGCACTTAACTCTTTATCTAGCTTGATAATATTTACATGTTCAGTCATCCTTTTCATATTACTGATTTTAGCGTTACCCCCATCCCAACCACCTTTTTAATGTGTGTTTCGAGGGGAAGAGTTCCTGGATGGGACCGTGAACATGTCTTTGGTGATCTTTTAAGTTGCTCTAGATTTTCTAACCTTTATGAAAAACACTGGTCAGGGTTGTTCTCCAACAGCTGGCAGCTCTGTGAACTAAATCTCACACCATTTTTGTTCTGAGACTGACTTCTTCCTGTGTACCTGTCTTCCCATAGTTGGTCGTGAGTAGAAAAAAGTTGGCCTGGGTGCTGCCCCAGGAAGCTGAACAGGAAGTTGCACATGGTTGGTGGAAGCTGATGAGTACCTGAGTGGCAGGTTACAAGGAGTCTCACAAGGAAGTAGAAGGGGCATTAAGGTGATGTCCAAACTGAGGCTCCAGCAGAGCAAGAGGGAACATGTAGCAGTTGGCCTATGGTGTTGGTTCCTCTGCCTTAAATCTGGGATCTGAAGGCTGGAAGACCCTGAGGCTATTCACTCTTCAGTTCATGGTGAAGCTGTAGAAGCCAAGGCCCAGCCCACTTTTTTGAAAGCTAACTAGGAACTCCCTTGTCCTTCAAGGAGCTTTGGAAATGACCCCACAAAACTCAAGTCTCATTAAGGGTTAGGCCCAAGATTAAAACCTGACTTATAAAAATGGTGAGCCTACTTCCAGTTTTGTTTTAAATTACAAATCCAGTCCTTACTCCAAGTTACTACACTGGAAAGAGATGTACTCTCTTGTTCTGCCTGTTTCATATGAACATAGGATGAAAAGATGACAAATGCTGACAAATGCTGAGTTCCTAAAGCTGAACTCAACAGCCTTATGAGCTCCTGATTTTCACTTATTTTTCTTCACCTCCCCCATCCTATCCCCTTAGATTGTGTACCTGTTTTAGTGACCCTGATCACTTTCCAAACACCCATTTATTTATTTATTAGAGAGGGGAGGAGAGAGGGCAGAGGATGGAATATTTTGAAAGCACTTTGCAATTTATCAGTATCTCAAAATCCCCTGCTGTTGTGGGGAAATTTGAATGCACTGAAGAGAGTTCCTTCTAAATGAAATGGGAGGGAAGTGTTATTTTCTGTAAATAACCAGTTTGCTTCCGAGGCAGAGACAAGATTCAAGACATAGCAGAAGGGTGGAAGGTAAATATTTTCCACTTAAATGAGGCTGTTATTGACTTTCTCTGCCAAAGCTTTAGTGTTTCTGTTGAATTAACATAAAAAGAGCAAGAATCTAAACAGAGATGTTCCTTGTGTGTACAACTTGTGTTTTGAACTGGATTTCCACTTGCTGTAGTTCTCGCACAGCCTAACAGTTCATTGTCATCTTTAATAAACTAAGGAAATGAAATTCTGTCTTTTGTTTGCCTGCCTTGACTGTTGAGGAATGATATTGAGTGTCTACTGTAAAGCAGGCATGTCTGAAAATTAAGAAGATTTCTTTGTTATTATGCAGAGCAAGCTGTACCATACAGAAAAGTGAGTTGGAGTGCTTCATCACAGACTTGCTATGAGACCTTGAGTGAATCACTTGACCTCTCTGGATTTCTGTTCCTTTGTGTGTACAATGATAGGATTAGGCTTTGTGACACACAGTCCTTTCTAGTGCATGGGGTGTGTGCCCTCTACCCATACCCTTGGTGCAACCATCACATAAAGTGAAGTCAATCTTCCTCTGTGCCAACATCTGAATTGTCTTAGATGCTTCAGTTCCCACTTCTGTGAGCATCTGCCTCTGGCTTTCTCTCTTACACTCCTGGTCTACTAGACCTCCAGTTCCTCCCTGCAACTTTTTGAACGTTTCTCCTTAGATATCCCCTTGTCATCTCCAGCCAATATATCTAAAACCAGCATAAGTATCATATTTCCCAAAACCTAACCATTAGTCACCCAGGTTTAAAAATTTAGTTGTAGGCTGGGCGCAGTGGCTCACACCTGGAATCCTAGCACTCTGGGAGGCCCAGGCGGGTGGATTGCTCAAGGTCAGGAGTTCAAAACCAGCCTGAGCAAGAGTGAGACCCTGTCTCTACTATAAATAGAAAGACATTAATTGGCCAACTAATATATATACAAAAAATTAGCCGGGCATGGTGGCGCATGCCCGTAGTCCCAGCTACTCAGGAGGCTGAGGCAGAAGGATTGCTTGAGCCCAGGATTTTGAGGTTGCTGTGAGCTAGGCTGACGCCATGGCACTCAGTGTAGCCTGGGCAACAAAGCAAGACTCTGTCTCAAAAAAAAAAAAAAAATTAGTTGTATTCAGCTTTCTCTCTGAGTCAAGTGGCATGTCCTGCTAGTCAAGCATTTTCTCCTTCCTACCACCTGTCATCAAGTTCTTTTCATTTTTTTCTTTAAAATAAATGTCCTATTCCTTTCCATCACTAGCACACAAATCCAGCTGCTTATGTCACATCTCAACTATCTCCAGTCATGCTAATTTCTTCCTGTTTACTCATCAAATATTTGGGTACTTACTTTATGTCAGTTTCTGTGCTAGGCTCCAGGAGGGAGCAAAATGGAGACAGTTTCTACTCTTAAGGAATTTAGTCTTGTGGATAGATATGGTACAGAGTCACCAATTACAAGCTATAGTAAGAGTTACAAAGGAAAAGAATAGATACCATTGAAAATAAGGTGACCTAATTTAGATCAGAGACAAGTAAGGCCCCTGAGAAAGTGATACTTCAACCAAGACCCAAAGGATGAGGCTCAGAGTAGGGAGAAAAAAGCTGTAGACAGGAACTAGCACATGTGATGATCTTGAGACAAGAGGAGTTTTGGCAGGAAATTGAAAGAAGGACTTACTAGGAATTTTAGATTTTATTCTAAGAACATTGATGCAAAGGACTGCACATGTCCCTCCAAAATTCATGTTGAAACTTTAATCCCAACTCAGTGGTATTTGGAGGTGGGGCCTTTGGGAAGTAATTAGGTCATGAGAGTAGAGCCCTCATGAATGGCATTAGTGCCCTTATAAGAAGAAGCCAGAGAGCTAGGTCGCTCTCTTTCTACCCTGGGAAGACATAGCAAGAAGATGGCTGTTTATAAACCATTTAGAGGGCCCTCAACAAGAACCTGACCCTGCAGACACCCTGATCTCAGACTTCAATTTCCAGAATGGTGAGAAATAAATGTTTTTATTTTATCCTATTTTATTTTTTAAATTGGCAAATAATAATTGTAAATTTTCATGGGATCCATAATGATGTTTTGATATATATAATGTATGGCGATCAGATCATGGTAATTAGCATATCCATCTCAGACATTTATTATTTCTTTGTGTTGGGAGCAAACAGCTACCCTTTTAGCTGTTTGAAACGATGTAATATATTATGGTTAACTACAGTCATCCTCAGTTGTATAGAACACTAGAATTTATTTTTCCTATCAAGCTGTAATTTTGTAACCTTTAACAAATCTCTCCCTATTCCTCTCTTCCCAGCCTCTATTATCCTCTGTTCTACTTTTGACTTCTATGAGATGAACTTTTCTTAGCTTTCACAAGTGAGAGTATGCAGTATATACCTTTCTTTTCCTGGCTTATTTCACTTAACATAATATCCTCCAGTTCCATCCATGTTGCTGCAAATGACAGGATTTCATTCTTTTTTATTCCTGAATAGTATTTCATGGTAATATATTACACATTTTATTTATCCATTCATCTGTTGTTGAACACCTAGGTTGATTCCATATCTTGGCTATTGTGAATAGTTGCTTCAATAAACATGGGATGCAGATACCTCTCCCGTATAATGATTTCCTTTCCATTGGATACATTCCTAGTAGTGGGACTGCTGGTTCATATGGTAGTTCTATCTGTAGTTTTTTGAGGGAACTCCATACTGTTCTCCATTGTGGTTATAGCAATTTGCATTCCTACCAACAGTGTATATGAGTTCATTTTTCTCTGCATCCTTGCCAGCATTTGTTATTTTTTGTCTTTTTGATAATAGCTATTCTTTTTTTTTTTCTGAGACAGAGTCTCGCTTTGTTGCCCAGGCTAGAGTGAGTGCTGTGGCGTCAGCCTTGCTCACAGCAACCTCAAACTCCTGGGCTCAAGCAATCATACTGCCTCAGCCTCCCCAGTAGCTGGGACTACAGGCATGCGCCACCATGCCTGGCTAATTTTTTATATATATATTAGTTGGCCAATTAATTTCTTTCTATTTACAGTAGAGATGGGGTCTCGCTTTGCTCAGGCTGGTTTCGAACTCCTGACATCGAGCCATCCGCCCACCTCGGCCTCCCAGAGTGCTAGGATTACAGGTGTGACCCACCGCGCCCGGCCCTGATAATAGCTCTTCTAACTGGGGTGAGATGATACCTCAAAATCATTGTGGTTTTGATCTGCACTTCACTCACTATTGAAGATTTTTTTCATATATTTGGCCATTGATAAGTCTTCTTTTGAGAAACGTCTTTTCAGATCTTTTGTCCATTTTTAAATCGGATTATTTGGGGTTTTTTTTACTGTTGAGATGTTTGAGTTCCTTATATATTCTGGATGTATTTCCCTGTTGGATGAATAGTTTGCAAATATTTTCTCCCATTCTATAGGTTGTCTTTTCACTTTGTTGATTTGTTTCCTTTGCTGTGTAGAAGCTTTTTGTTTGATATAATCCCCTTTGTTTATTTTTGCTTTTGTTGTATGTGCTTTTGAGGTCTTATTCATAAGATCTTTTCCCAGACCAACGTTCTTCTAGTAGTTTTATCATTTTAGACCTTACATTTAGGTCTTTGATCCATTTTGAGTTGATTTTTGTATAGGGTGAGAGGTAGGGTTCAGTTTGTCCAGCACCATTTTTGTTAATTTTTATTTTTTGATTTTTGTGTGTGTGTATTTTGAGGCAAGGTCTTGTTCTGGTTGCCTGGGCTAGAGTGCAGTGTTATCATCATAGCTCTCTGCAACTTCAAATTCCTGGGCTCAAGTGATGCTGCTGCCTCATCCTTCTAAGTAGCTAGGACTACATGTACACATCACCATACCCAGCTAATTTTTCTATTTTTTGTAGAGCTGAGGTCTTGCTTTTTGCCTAAACTGATCTCAAACTCCTGAGCTCAAGTGATCCTCCTACCTTGGCCTCCCAAAGTGCTGGGATTATAGGTGTGAGCCACAGCACCTGGCCTCATTTTTATTTTTTAAAGATGAGGCCTTGTTCTGTTGCCCAGGCTGGAGTGCAGTGGATCATAGTTCACAGCAGCCTTGATCTCCTGGGCCCAAGCAATCCTCCCACCTTAGTCCTCAGAGTAGTTGGGACTGCAAGAGTGTGCCAGCATCAATTATTGAAGAGACTGTCCTTTCCCCAATGAATGTTCTTGGCACCTTTGTCAAAAATCAGTTGACTGTAGATATGTGGATTAATTTCTGGGTTCTCTGTTGTGTTTCATTGCTCTAAGTGTCTCTTTTATGACAGTCCCATGCTGTCTTTGTACTGTCTACAGCATTTTAGTATATGTTGAGGTCTGGTACTATGATACCTCCACCTTTGTTCTTTTTGCTCAGGATTGCTTTGACTATTCAGAGTCTTTTGTGGTTCTATACAAATTTTAGGATTTTTTTTTTTTATATCTGTGAAGAATGTCATTGGTATTTTGATAGAGGTTGCATTGAATCTGTAGATTGCTTTGGGTAGCATTGTCATTTTAATAATATTCTTGCAATCCATGAGCATGGTATGTTTTTCCATTTGTTTGTATCCTCTTCAAATGTTTGTTGTTTTAAGCCTCCCAGCTTATGGTATTTTGTTAGAGCAGTTCAAGCAGACTAAGATAATTGGATTGAAGAATTTTGTTCAGAGGAGTGAATGATCTGGTTAAAATTCCCTTGTTCTCTTTGTGGAAAATGAAGGGAAGAAGCAATGGGATGGTGGTCTTCAAGGGAGATGGCTCCAGTAGTTCAGGAGAAAAAAATGTTGGTTTGGACTAGGGTATAATTGCTGTCACCTCATTACCCATAAACCCCTAAGAATAAGATAAAGTCCAAAGCTCTGCTCTGATTCTGACATGTTTAAGCAAGGAACAAAAGGCTGGGATGGGAGGGGGAAGGATATTGGAAAGATACTGGGATAAACTACAGAATCTAAGGAAAATTAATAGAATTCTCAGAAAGGGCGGGACCAGGGCAGCCCTGGGAAACTCAGCTGCAAGATTTGTAGACCTCTTGAATCTGCTGCCAGTGAGGCAGGCCACAGAGTAATGGCTGTACTGGGGACTCACCCCTGAGCACTGGGGTAAAAGGGAACTGTAAGCTGGATGGTCATTCACTGTGGTATTGACCATGCTATTCATCACTCTTTGTGGCCCCAAGTGTGTGCAGGTTTACAAAACCCAGTAATGAAAGAAAGAGTGAGC